TATATATATATATATATATATATTTTGAAGTATATGTACTTTCTTCTTAATTTGTTAGGGTTAGAAGTGGGTCATTTTCCGGCTGAAGTGAATTCTCCGGCGGTTTTCCGGTGCGTTAGGGTGAGTGCCATGGACGAGGCTGAGGAGCAGTTGGCTTATCAGACGGCTTTGAACATCGGTGGGCATGTTTTCAAGGGAATTCTATACGACCATGGTCCTGAAGGTCGATACAACAACCCTGGCGAAGGTAGTTCATCCGGCGGTGGTGGTGCTCAACTTCAACAACTTATTACTTCCGGCAGGACGGCTGGTGCGACGGCGTCCACCAGCATCCATCCAGCTGTCAATTTTATTGACCCTTCTTCCACATACCCGACTCCTTTCAGTGCTTTCATGGCGGGTACGCAATTCTTCCCACCACCAAGATCTTGAGGATCAAAATCAAATGCTAATTATTGGTAAGAACTTTTCTTGTTCTAACAAAAAGAGAACGTTAATACTACATTGATGGGGGGTTTTTAGCAGCTATTAATGTTGATTTAAGTATTGAACACTCATTAAATTAGCTAGGATAATTATTCAAAGAACAATTAAAGTGTATGGAAATTTGAGGAGTTTGGGATGCTTCATGATGACTTTGATGATGTAATTTAATGGGTTTTCGTTGGAATTTTCCATCAGTAATTAATTCTTTTTTATTACTATTTAATATTTTAATAACGGAACAAGTTTCTGAATCTCAAATCAAGATTCTGTCTTCACGAAGGAAGTTTTCATTATTAATAATATTTTTCACACAAAAAAGCTTTAAATAATTTAAATAATTATAAACGAAATTAAACAACAAGAAATCAAATCACATTTATTTATCCATTTTTTGAAAATATATCATATCTAAAATTACAAAAATTGACTTGTAAATGGAGGTTAATTTATACAATTATGCGCATCTTCATTTTAATCTTTTTAGCAGTGATTCTTGCATATGGATGTGTGCATTTGGTGTTTTTAATCATTTTATTGATTCCTATTTCGGATTTGAATTCGTGTACGGTTTTTGAACTCGAGGTTGCTTTTACCCGGTCCGTTTTTCGGTTCGAGGTTTCAAGCTAGACTAATCTTTTCTCTCCCCCAAAGCATATTTCACTTCATTTAATTCATACATAGTATATATATAAATATATGTATGTATTTTATATATGTATATTGTAGATCATATCATATTGGAACCGGAGTTAACGAAATTTGTATCACTAATGTTTTATTATTGATTGTTTTGAAAAATGAATAATGTCTTGTCTATTTTTTTGGGCTGAAGTCGACCTCTCCATGACCTGCATGCATAGCATTCCTTACCTATAATTGTACATCCATAGGTATAAGTGAATGTAAGTATCCACATATATATATATATATATATATAT